TCGGGCCATTTCCCAGCGAGACCCCAGGACTCACTGCATGCAGAGAGAGAGAGAGAGAGAGAGAGAGAGAGAGAGCTCTGGCACTGCATGGCAGCTCCCTTGGGCCACCCTGGGCAGCCTCTTGGCAGCTCCTCCTTGGCACTAGCCCCGAGCACCCTTTGCAGCAGGCCTGGAAAGGTCCCAGGCCTTGGGTGGACACATTTTCAAACACGTTGAATTGCGTGAAGCTCAGAGGAGGCAGAACGTGTGTGTGTGTGTGTGTGTGTGTGACAGATGATGCACAACAATTTCCCTGCTGAGCAAGGCTGGCCTCAGCCTGGAATGCCAGGGCTCTGCTCCTTCCTTTTGGCGATTTTTGCACAATGCCCTGAAAAGGAAGCAAACACCCACCCCAAACCCAGCACAAGTCTGAGCACGTCCTGCCCAGAGCTGAGAGGCTCCGTGCCTTCCAGGGAAGGGGAGACTCAGCAAACTCTGCAGCCGATACTGATGAGTCAGCGATCCCAGCAAGATTTCTACTGGGGGGGGGGGGGGGGAGGCAATGACACACAATTTCCCAGAATGCATTTTCTCCCGGATCCTTCTGATCCCCCGAGGCTTTCCTGGTTCTGAGCAGACTTTGAGTGGGTTCCCCCCCCCACAGCTTTCAAAGGGGGCGGGGGAACCTCCACCCCAGGAAGCATCTTCAGGTCAGGCCCCCTCCCCAGCTGGAAGGGAGGAAGAGGCTGGGGGGGTCCCCACACAAAGACCTGTCCCCCCAAAGCCATGTTTTCACTTTCCTTCCAGCAAAGGAGGAGGCAGGATTTGGGGGAGGACTGCTCTGACACCCCCCCCCGCCCCAGGTGCTGCGCAGGGCTGGCAAGTGGTGAGCGGCAGCAGAGTAGGCGGCAGGAGGGAGCCGGGGTGCTGGCCAGAGCCACTTCCTGCTGCCAGGTGGGCCTTGCCCCCTCCTGGCACCGGGGCTGCTCGGTAAACACTTGGTTCCTGTTGATATCGCAGGGAACATTGAGGTCTGATTGCAAGTGTGGGAAAGGTGACGCTGGCAGTGCGAGGGGAAGTGCCAGGCCCAGCCCGGCTGCCACACAGGTCCACTGTGGGGACGCAGCCTCAGCATGCCAGCACTGCCCTGTGCCCATCTGCTCGGACCAGGAGGCTGGCCGGTTGAGCCCCCTCCCCACGTCCCCCTGCCCAGGGGCTGTGAAGGGGTTTGGGGGCCCAGAGAGCGCCTGAGCTGTGGGTCCCCCCCTCGGTGCTGCTCCTGGCTGCTGTTTCCACCGCGAGGGCCCTTGGGGGTGGGGAGCCAGGGAGGGGTCCGGACTGGGGGCTCTTTTCCTTGTGCCAAAGCCAGTCCGTGGGGCATGTGCTCCAGAGAGGGCTCCTGCCTGGCTCCGGGCCGGGAAAGCCACCCAGTCCAGCCCCAGCCAGTTGTTGTCAAGATGCCCCGCCAAGGTAAATGTTATTAGCCGAGTTTTGAAGCTTCGTTGCTTTTAAAGAATCGTTTCCATGAGAAACCAGCTTTGCAAACACTCCGCACAGAGGAGGCCAGAGGTGAAAGGAATAATAGGCACATTCCTGCAACATGACACACGCACGCACACACCGGCTTAACTCTTTGCCTGCTGCGGCTGCCTTGTTCCCGGCGCTGGGATTCCACTCTGTGGGGCTGGCGCCTCCCCCAACTCGCCTCCCCTGGCTGCTCTCCCTCCTAGCCGGCTCCGCATCCCCCAGGCGGCCATCGGTCCATAGAGGGAGGGAAGGTGCTCTGGCAGGGGCTTCCCACTCATTATTTCAGCCTTAATTTCCTTTTAATTTGTTTTCCCTTGAGTTTAACGGTCTTAAAGCTGTTTAAATAGCCAGCCGTTCTAACAGGCGCCACCGTTGCTCTGCCCTGAAGGGCATTTTGTGCAGAAGCCCGGCTGCCTTCCCTGTCCCTGGCATCCTGGCCCAGGAGAGGGTCCCTGACGGTCAGATGCCCCAAGGCCAATCCGGAGCTGAGGGGAGGAAAGAGGGTGGGTGACCTCACTGGGGGCCAGGTCCCTCTGCCTTCCTCCAGGCAAAATACTTTGCCCCCGATTGAAATGGGGGGGGGGGCAGCAGTCCCGCCAGGCCTCCCTCAGCAGACCAACTGCCAGGCCTCCTGGCCCAGAAGGGAGCCACCAGCTCCCAGTCATGCCAAAGAGCCTGGTTCTCCAGCCTTAGCCGGAGGTTGGGAGGAGGGCGAAGGAAAGAGACCCTTGGGGGCCTCAGGGGGGCTGGGGAGGGCCAGCAGAGTGGGAGCGGGGAAAGGAAGGGCAGTGCAAGGCCGGCTCCCGTCTGCGTCCACCCAGAGCCTGGTCGGCAGCTCACAGGCACCCGGTTCCCGGGTCTTCTTTGAGTGGGGGGCAGTGGGCTCACAGGGTGCACAGGCTGGTTTGGCCAGTGTGTGTTTTCACTGAGCACACTTGTTCACGCTCCTCTTCTGACCCTGGTTGTCTGTCCCATGGAAAGGCCACCCGTTCCCCAGAGCAAAGAAGGTGGAGGGTCGCCACCATGCAGGGCCGATGCCAGCCTTGCAGAAAGCATCAGGCCCCGGGGGCTGCTCAAGGGTTGGGCTCCGCGCAGGGCCCAGCAGAGCAGCCTTCCTCCGGGATAGGCGCAAGCAGCCATCCCCCGAGTGGCACCATTGGCTCCTTTCCTGTTCTCCATGGGAATTTCCACCCGTTAGCAGGCTTGGCCCCTCTGCTCACGTGCAGCCCCTTCCCCTCAGCCCCCTGCTGACTCTGTCAATGATTGCTGGGATGAAAGGAGCTCCTCATTTCAGCCATAAAAGCCACGTGTCAATCTCTTATCTTGCCAGCAAAGGTACGGCCTTGATCCTATCAGCAATTCCCTTCTTGGACTGCCAGGAAGAGCCACATACGTGAAGCCATTATCTTCTGCTTGGACCGTTTCTGTTGGCAACGTTGGTAGGCAATTGTGTCTGTGGAAGCTGCCCAACTCTCCCCATCTGAGGGAGACAAAATTGGCCTCCTGAGACACAGACCCGAGCCCAGAGGGAGAAGACCTAGAGATGTGGGGTACGGCAGTAATGGCCAAGAGATCCTGCCGGAGATTGCCAGCAAATCCCCTGCAGTCTAAGAATTGGTTCTTTAAAGTGGGAAGATGGAAACATGGAAAAGACATGAGATGTCCAAGTTGGGATGCACAAGGTCAATGCTGCAAATATCCATGATATTCATTGTAAGAAAATTGTAAGGATGAAGTTTGAACTCAACTTCCACCAGCACTGGAAGTAAGTTCAGATCACTTGATTTAGACCCCGGCCAAAACAAAGCCCCCCTGAGCCCCGTATGAGCCCCGCCCGGCTCTCTGCTCCGACTCCTGTCCTTCTTGTCCAAGACAGGCATGAAGGTCCAGCCAGCCTCCCCCGCTGAAGAGGCCAGGCAGCCTGGGAGGCGAGAGGCAAAGGCCCAACGGTGCAAGGAAAGGCAAAACCGAGCCAGGAATCCTCGGGAGCTGCCAGAGGCCTTTGCGCTTTCCATGCCCCCCAAGGGCAGCCTTTGCTGAGGGAGGCCTGAGTTGGGGGCTCTTCCAAGAAATGTTCTTTCTCCTCGAAGGGCTCCAGGGCATCCAGAGAAGCCCCTTGGGCAGGATGGCTCCTCGTCTACCATCAGCCACTGCTGAGAGGACGGGTTTGGTCCAGAGGCCTTGGGAATTTATCCAGATTAACCCTTTTCCCCTTTTCCGAAGGGAAAGCTCGGTCTGCTGCCTTCCTCCAGTGTGACTGAGAAATCAGGAAGGTCTGTGAAGAGTTTACAGCCTCCCCCCCCCCCCCCTCCCCCTTTGATCAGTCTGAAATTCTCTACCCGCCCCCCCCCCCCCAATGGCTGCTCCTCCTCAGGATTTCAAACCGTTTCACGCATATGTGTAAATGTACATGTATTCTTCCCCCACCCCAGACAAGGAATTTAAATTAAATCACAAGGTCTAGGAATCAATCCCAGATTTCACCCAAAAGAAAAAGAAAAACCCACCACGCTCTTGGGGTCCAATTGCACTTTCAGGCCCGTTAATCATAAAATGTCTGTTTTCAATTCCTCTCTTCTCTGGCCTTGCCCATACAATGAGTTTTATCCTTCTGCAAAATAGCCGCTAGATAAGAGCTAAACTCTTGCAACAACCCTGAAATCCACAATTGTTCTCATTTTGAAACGGGGACTTTTTCTGGACTCGGTCAGTGAATTTTGGAATCCGGCAATTCTTGTCCTGGCTGCTGGGCAGCCTTCAGAGCCCAGGGAGCCCCTGACATGGGGAGGTCCCGGGCCAGAGGCACCAAGGGCCACAGGCTGGTTCTCGCAGAGCAAGAACGGGCATTCTTGGTCCGGAAGCAGGGGGAATTGGTCTTGCCCATTGGACTGGGGGTAGGGGAGCCAGGGAGGGAGCTCCGGTTTTGGGGAAGGCCAAGCTCGGCCTCCCCCGGCTGCCTATCTGCCTGCAAGGGACAGGAGGCCTCCTCGCAGGGGCTGTTCCCTGGGGACCCGAGGCTCCACCCTGGGGCTCTCCAGCACTGGGCCTTTTGCCTGAGGACAGAGACCAGAGGGGGCACCTTGGAGAGGCCCAGGGGCCCTTCACCCCAACCCAGAGCTGGCAGGGAGGAGTTGGGCGGGCAGGTGATGGCCAGAGAAGCCAAGGACGAGGACGGCTGGCAAAGATCTTGCCCGCTGCAACTGAGCTGTTCCCTGGGAAGCTCCTGGCAGACCCCCCTCGCCCACTTCCCTCCGTGTAACATGGCTGAGGGCCACAACCTCCGCCATCCGCCTGGCTCGCTTCCTCTCCACTAGGCATTGTGTCTTGTGTTGCCTGAAGGAAGAGGCCGTTGGCTCTGCCATTGGCTGGAGTGGCGCTCGCTTCCTCCCCAATTGGCTGGGGAGGCCTGCCGCAGCCTTTGCCAGGTGGGAGTACCTCCCACTGCAGGACAGGTGAAGATTTTCTGAGGCAGATTGGGATTCTTAAGGCTACAGAGCACCTGGATTCCTCAAGATCAGGAACAGCAGGCATGCCTCGGAACGCCTGATTGTTGCCTTTCCAAAAACTTGTTTTTCCTCTCCGATTTGGGTTTCGCAACTCAGCAAGGGGGGAGAGGGGCACGCAAAGAGGATGAGCGGCAGTGGGCTTGTTGCAAGCTCCCCAATCTCTGAGGAAAGCGTAGCCTTCACGCCCTTGAAGCCCGTTGCGATGGCGAGGGAATGCAGTGACGACATGGCCGTCTTTGAAGACATCAAACCGCCCGTACGAATCTTGGAAAACCAACCGGATTTGGCCCAGGTAAGAGAAGCGTGGAACTTCTGGGCATAAGATGTATTCTTTCGTATTTGTAGAAAAGCATTCTTCTGAAACGTTGCTGATTTAATCCGAAAGGTTGATGAGATCAATTATCAGAAAGTTTCGAAACTGACCGTATTCTTCTTTATCCTCTAATTACGGATTCGGGGTGGCTATGAGGCAGAAAAGTTCCTGGAGATTTTAGGCTGTTGGAAATGACTGTGGGTCACCAACGATCTGGAGTCAGCCTGAAATATAAACCAGCTTTTGTGTTCAAATGGGCAATAGATCAGCTTGGATGGAAACACGCAGCTGAGGAAATGAAAGCTTTTGAGAAAGCACGCACCTGAAATTGGCCTTGTTTTGTTGCGCCTGGGGAAAAGTTTCTGGGGTGCTGCTTTTTATGATGGGAACATTCCCCAGCAAGGGAGGCTCCCTGAGGCCCTTTGGGCTGTTTTCCCTGGTGGGAAGGGCAGGGGCCTCAGCAGGAGAGAGCCGGGTGCTCCAGCCAGGTGCCTGCAGGGAGCTTCTGAGCCAAAAGGTTGCTGGAAGGAAGAGCTGCCTGGGCTGCTGCCGCCTTGGAAATCACGGGAATTGGATTCTCCTTGAGATTCCCGGCTGTGAGCACCCCCACTTGCCCCTCCCCCCAGGAGACAGGGCTGATTCGAGAGGTGGAGGCAGAGAGCCCGCCTGGCACACCCTGGCGGACTCTCCCACCTGGCCGAAGAGGCTGGTCTTTCCTGCTTCCTTCCAACATGTGAGAGAAACACACAGGCCGCCCCGTGCTTTGCAGGGCCTGGCCCAAGGCAGGGGGAAGGTTGTGCTGTTGCTATGCACGTGGGGAAGCCCCTCTCCCCCCACTGCTGAACTGGTGGCCTGGTGTTTGTGGAAGGGGGGTGGGGTCAAGGAAGCTCTCCTCCGGCCCTCTCTGCAAGCCAGGGGAGGCCAGGCCAAAGCCAGGGGGCCTCACGGGAGGGAGGGGGCTTTCCTCGGGCTTTGCGCACCAGGACTGACCCTCTGCCAGCCCCATCTTGGTCTAGGGCCTCTAGAAAGTGTCAGCAGCAGCAGCAGCAGCAGCAGCAGCAGCAGCAGCAGCAGCAGCAGCAGCAGCAGCTGGCATGATGGAGGGCAGGGCAGGACTTCAGCAGAATACAGCTGACCTCAGGAGGGGCTTCTGGGGCTCAGGCCAGGGCCTTGGTGACCTGCAGGTGACCACAACGGTGGGAAGATTTCCCCAGCCGTCTAGACACACTTCCATGAGGGAGGAACTCTCTTGCCCCACATACCGTCAGCTTGTCATATCAAGTGGAAGCGTATCGTGGGCATCTTGCCCTGGCAGGCCGCCCTGCTTATTCGCCCGGGTTTTGTGACTTGATCCAGGGAGCAGATTCAGCTTCTCAGCCGCTCATCCTAAATTGTTGACCTGGGCGCCACTGGGAGAGAGTCAGCCAACCTCCCTCTTGGAACCAACGGCCCCAACAAAGAACAGAAACGGGCCCGTTCCTCCAACGAGACTGAAAGGAAATGTTGATTTCAAGAGAATCGGCCCTCCACTTTGGTATTTGCAGAGCAATGCCTGTTTCAGAGATACGAAATCCCAACCCTGGGAGAATTCTTTATTTTGTGCCAATCCTCCCTCCATTTTGTCTTGCTCAATCAGTCCAACAAGCGAGGTAATGATTAACCTCAAGTGCAAGGCTTCCTGGCGCCATCTTGTTGGCAGAGAAGACAACGCTAGAAAGGGCTGAGGAGATGCCGCAGAGGGGCCCCCTTGGCAGGCAGCTCTGAGAGCGTGAGACCCTTGAATGCGACAGGTTGGCATCCCACCAAACTGTATGGCTTCTGTCTCAACAGTGCTGTAATATCCCAGGCGGCCCACTGAGCCGCCATTCAAAGGACGCTTTCCATAAGGCTCCATTGGACCCGTACTCTTTATTCCTGAAAGAGGAGGGGGGAGGCAGTACAAGGACTCCCCCAGGCCCGTTGGGTGCTCTACCAACAGAATGGTTAGGGTTGGCTCCCTCCGCCTCCTTTCTCCCTGGGGTTTCCTGGAATGCACAATCTGGAGCATCTTTCAGAGTGGAGATTTGGCTCGACTCTTTTGATCCGTGAACCGAAGACTTTGTTTTACTTGCCAAACAAGGTGAGAGTGAGGTTGGCGGCTGCATTTTCCCTCACAAAGGTCATCAAAGCTCAGGATGAACAAACCTCTTTCCAGCCTCAGTTCAACTTCCCATTTCTGAAGGGTAGATGCTCCCCCCTCTTCCTCTCTCTCTCCCTTGGTTCAGTTCGTTCTTCTCTTTTGTAAGGCAAACCAGGCAACTAGAATCGTGGCTCACCAAGCAAGCTGGAGTTGGCCTTCTGTGCTCAGTCCAGGCCTGCAAAGAAACCTGCCTTGGTTGCCTTTCCCCAAGGACTGCCGGGGTGAGGGTGCTCTGATGGGAGGGCTGCTCCTTAGCTGCACATGCTTCCCCCATTCCAGGCGCAGGGAGGTTCGCCAGACACTCTGGGCAGAATCTGCTCTCAATCTGTAACTGCAGCCTGGATGAATGGAGGCCTCACCAGCATGTCCATAGGAGATTGCAAGAGCCTCTCTCAACTCCTGGCTTGTCCCTCCTGCCAGCAAGCACACACTCCATTCCAGAAGAAGCACCCAAGACCAGCTCCTGCACGGTCAGGGGAGACAGCCGTCTAGGGCTTCCAGCCATGGGAAATCATTCGAGCAAACTGTGTGCCTCAGTAAACAAACTTTCAGAATTGGGTCACCAAGAAGCCGCCTCATGAGTCATTGGCCCATTGAAACAGCCTTTTTTGAAGAAATATTATATTCAAAACAAATGTGGCCCATAGCAGAAGAAGTCTATTTTCTTACCTAGACCTAGTAGATATGCTGTATACCCTTGTCATTCTACACATAATATGGTATCCCACAAGATTACTAAGGTTCTCGGGATCTTGAGTTCCAACCAAGCTCCAACCGTCTGCCACGTTCTCTGCAAGGCTGAGTTGACCAGGTAGACACACAGTTAACCAACAAGGAGAGAGCAAGAGAGGGGATGGAGGCCCACAGAGACTCGGAATTTGCTCCTCAAGCTTCCAAATTTATGGTAACTGCGAAATCTCCCTTACTTGGCCTTCCCTACGCAGGGCAACTTTTATTTCTCTGACCAGAAAAGGCCTATCAGAAATGTAGACGTGAGATCAAAACAATGAAGTGTTTTTCGGATTGTTGATCACAAGAAGAAAGGCAACCAGATAAGACAGGAGAAGAGCTTGTATTCTAGATTGCCAAAGGTTATGAAAAGTTCTGCTGTAAAATTCAGGTAATCTAATACAATGATAAATCCAGGGCCATTTTGGCTGCTGACTGAAATGCCACGCAAGCCGAGGAGGCAACTGTGCTTCCTTGTAGGAAGCGATTCAGCAAATGCCAGCCAGCCCTTCCACACACCCCCACCCCAATGCACAGCCCTTCGGGGCCTGCTTCCTGGGTCCTTTGCAGACCCCGTGGGCATGATGTCTTTGGGGCGGGGGGGTTCCAGGGAGCTTCTGCCTGTGAAGTGGGCTGGCGGACATGCCGCCACTTGCAACTGGGGTGGGGGAGGGCTGGCTTCCTCTGATCCGCTTCACCTTCCCCGGAGGAGCCAGACCTAACCCCATGGACCTCAGCCATCAGCTTCCCCAGGGGAGGGCTCCACCTGGATTTGGGGAGGGCTGATTGTGGCTCATGGCATCCATACC